GACCCGAGCTAACATGGGGTTAGCTCGTTAAATTACAATAAAGCCTCGTGCAGTTTGCAGCAAGCTCTCGAATCCGCCTGGTGATTGGGGTGACCGAGAACGTGGCCTGGGACCCCGGATACTTGAGTTTTCGGGGGTCTAACAGCCCTACCATGCTTTTGCAGACCTCAGCTGTTTCCCATGATCCCTTCATGGCTTTGAAACCATTATCACCTGGGTGACTCTTAAATTCTAAAGTTTAGCTGCCAGATCAAGGGACATTCTTGCATATAAAAGCTTAGCGGTGCATCTTTAATATCTTATTAAACCAGTGTTGTTTTTAAATCCTACCTTTTATAAACCTTGGTTTCAGGACACAACAGGAATTATCATACAAAAAATCTATCCCAATGCAAACTATGTTGGATACCTGTTGTTGCCTCCTTCGTAGGCCCACCCCATGTGATCACCTTTAATCAAGATGACAGTGAAATCACAAGACAATGGTCTTTTCTAAACCTAGCAAAGATGGCTGCCAGACATGTGACTGCCCAAAGATGCTGAAGTCACATGATGTCAACCTTCTCTAACCCTAGCAAAAATGGCCAGCCATGTGGCTCACTAAAAATGGCAACAATCCAAAATGGAATCATGACATATGGTTCCTTTAAAATTACCCATGCATAGATTTTTGATTATCAATTCCCAGGGTTACTAGTTTTAACTTTTTTTCTTCAGATTTTACAGATTCCTAACCACACCCAACAAAGTAAATTTATAAATCTCAAGGTACATACTGTTCACATAAACCAAGTCTAATTTTTCAGCTTTTCTGCTTTGCTTTCTTATCCCCATCACAGTACCAGGGATCAGACTGACACAGCAACATAAAGGAAACTTTTAAATAAGCATGACTGGGTCTAGCAAAAGAGGAGCCATAATTTAACTCTAGAGCCAGTTTTCAGCTATAACAGAACAGCATAAAACAATTTTAACATTATTTTCATCAAAAAACTAGCTGAACTCTTGCTAACCTGAATAGAGTGACCAGAGATATTCTGAGCCTCGGCCATAAATGCAGCCAGGGCAGTAGTAGTGTCTAGGTTCTGTCAGCAGTAGAGACAGCAAAAATATCCAAACCATTTCTGTATCAGCTCCATGTTTTCAACAAACTTACAAACACCAGAAAACACAGACAAAACTTCCCAACTAAACAAGGAGACATACTCTCGAGAGAAACAGACAAAACTTTCATGTATACACTAGAAAACACAGAGACAAAATTTTCCAACAAAACAAGCATACACAAGTGTTTTGAGAAATACACAAAACTTTCCAACAAGACAAACAAAACTTACCTTGGGGAAACAAACAAAACTTTCCAACAAGAACCAGAACCAGAATCAGATGGGTGAGTAACATCTTGCTAAATGCCCTAGATGGGAATATTGGGGTCCTGTCAAACCTCCTACACATTCCAGATGGGGATCCCACAGAATGGAACCAGACTATAACTCACCAGAAGGCCTTCATAGATGCTTGTTGCATCTCTCAGCTTGACACTTCACTCTGATAGTCCAAAAACTGAGGGGCAGCCTTGAAGCTTTGGAACATCTCAAGGCATATGCCTCCTGAAGGAGCTCCTCAGACCTACAGTTCTGGAGTGAAGGTCCAGCATTACAAATCGGGTAGGTGGTCTGAATCTCACTAAGGCCTCCATAAAATGTTAATCCCAACAGTGAGAATAAGACCACTACCACAATTTGAGTCAAATTTGAAGTAAGCTTGATTTTTATTTGAGTACACACAAGAGCTGGCCAGCGACTACCTCCTAAGTCAGGCTAAAGAGAGTCCCAAATACACCTTTTGAGCCCCTTTAAAGGAGTAAAATCATAAGTAATTTGGCAGAAAGATGATGGGGCAATAAGGAAATATTTTTTTAAATTTAATCACCCATCTTAAGTTACCTCCACCTAAGGAAGCGTTGACAGTGAAGACTTCTATCCAAGGAACATCTGTCATGCACAGTTGGGCAATAGCTTAGATCCTAACAGTATGCGAATGTACAACCAGGGGGTAAATAATTGTAGGAGTGCAGGCTGTGCAGCCCACTGGAACAACCTATGGTATTTTGCTGACTTTCCTTCTTCTGAAAATGTTTAGCTCACATCTGCTCTCACAGTCTGTCTGCAGCCTGACAAAATGACTCCCAGGAGTCCACTCACATCTGATTGCTGTTCTATGTTTCACAGGTGCCTATAACAGACTCCTGCCCTACATTGTCATGGGCAGTCTGACTGTCCTGATTGGAATCATCACGCTTTTTTTCCCTGAAAGTTTTGGAGTGGCTCTACCAAACAACTTGGAGAAGCTGCAGAAAGTGAGAGGGTAAGTAGCAAAAGGATTGGAAGAATAAACATGGGAGAATATCTAATATGGTCTGAAAAAGAGGATCATGGAGTGGAGATCATCGGAGGGGCACTGAAGAATATTGGCATGGCAATGGTGTAGGAATAGAGACCAGTGGAGCAGGACAGAGTTCAGGATGAAACCTAAGAAAATAAGAAAATTCAGAATATGATTGAAAACAAATGGTGTTGCAACTTAAAATCCTCTGGGAAGAGCAAGGAACACACACCTGTACTCCAAGCTTCAATGGAGTTTATGGTAGGAATGAGGGTCACATGAGTACAGGAGTTCAAAACCAGCTTTGACGGGACCAGCTCCCCATTTCGGCAGCCATAGCAGCCTAACATGTGTTTGCCTGACCTTGCCTTGGTCACTAGGTCAGATACCTGCCTCGTGGCAAGGAACCAATCAGAAGTTAGCTAGCGGTGCTATGCTTTATGGCTCTAGGTGTGCTTTATGGACAAGTGCACAGCAATGACACACAGAGCATAGCAATCACCCTGGGAGGGCCTATGGGCCATAACAACCAGTTGACCAATCAACACAGGGCAAACCCTCCAAGCCTGGAGGCACACCAATCCTGAGCCTGTGCGTACCCCTAGACACTCCCCTTATGCTGCCCTATAAGATCTCCAGGCTGTGGCTTTGCAGCATCTTTCCTAGCCGTGAGCCATGGTGGATGGATAAAAGGCCCGAGCTAACATGGGGTTAGCTGTTAAATAACTGCAATAAAACCTCTTGCTCTTTGCATCAAGCTTTCGACTCTGCCTGGTGATTGGGGTCATTGAGGTCCTGGACAGAGATCACGGGGGCCTGAGCCTCCGGGGGTCTTTCAACCTGGATCTAATAATGAACCCCCTCAGTGTCCATTCATCCATATATGCATGTATACATACATATATAAAAATAATCAGATATTTTTAATAAAGAAAAATTGAACCCTCCAAAATACATCAAGATAAATTCTGGAAAGAAAAAAATATTTAGGACTAAAAATACAAAATCATGAATTTACAAGAACAAAACAATTGGTGTAAATCAGAACTGAACAGAGAAGGGGAGATAAAATCAAGAGTTAAAGGTCATCCTACACAGGGAGACCCTGGCCCCTCACCAACCAATCAACCAACAAAAAACAGTAACAAAATCAAAGTCAATGTCAATAAGCAAGGGGAAAGAGATGAAGCACAAATGTAGACAGAGGCGCTATCCCAAGTTCTGCAATCTATGGGGAAGAGGTATTTCCAGCAAAGGAGAGGAATTGGCTGCTTAGAGAAGGTAGTATTAGAGGGGCTGGAGAGATGGATCAGAGGTTAAGAGCTCTGACTGCTCTTCCAGCGGTCCTGAGTTCAAGTCCCAGCAACCACATGGTAATGAGAAGGTAAATTTTAAGTATGTAGCACATGTGAAAAACAAGCTACTTATCATATGTATGAAGAAATAGAGGAGCCAGTGAGGTGGCGCAGAAGGTGAAGGTGCTTACACCAAGCTGAGCACCTGAGTTCTGATCCTTGAACCCAGAGTGGAAGAGGAGAATTGATTTCCCCAAGTTATCTTCTGTAGTAGAGACTGTTCTGTTACTGTGGTAACAGTACCATGACCAAGAAAAGCAACACATAAGCAGGAAGCATTTGTTTTGGCTTAGGTTCTGGGTGGGGACGCCTATCATAGGCTGATCAGCATTTCATCTGCACACAGGAAGCAACACACTACTGTCCAGGCTGTAGAGGCGGTCAGTGATTCAGAAGCTCCCCAAACCCCACTGTCTGCAGATTCTCCATCCTGTGGGCCTGACTGGCCATCAACTCTGTCCCCATCCTGCTCTTCTCTGCAGAGGCTGAGAGCACAAAGCCACAAAGGTCTGTGCTCTTAGATCAAGGCTGCTTCTTTCTGACAGTGGGTCCTCATGCTGGGATAACTAAGAGCCCCTCACAGAACCAAAACGACACATCACCCCCATCACTCAGGAAACCACAACAGACTGAGGATCTCTGTGCCAGGACCCAGAGGCAAAGACCAAACATCCTGTGACAGCACAGCTTCTTGGCCATAATGCTCAGTGGCTTTGTGGAGAAGTTGAAACTCTGAGTTGTGTCTGCCTGGCTTTAAACTCATGACATAAACTTGGGAAAGTTATTTAAGTTTTCTCAACCTTCAGCCTTTCCATTTATTACAAGGGAATATTTCATGTGGCTGCCTAGAGCTTCTATGAGAGAAAGTCTTAGCCATGGCTGGCCATAATAAAGTATGTCCATCTGTGTAGATAGTGGTCTGTCACAAATTTGTGCGGGTGCCTGTGTTTGATAAGAGTTCAACTAATCATTATAATTCCTCAGTATAATTCTTCAGTATTGCTATGAACTTCCTGCTACCCCTCTATCCCTTCTTCAGGGAAACTAAAGAGCTTTGTGTTTAATTAGGAAAGTAGCTTCAAATCATAAAACATGAGGTCTGCACCTGTTAGGTTCTTTAATTAGAGTTCACAGGTTTTCATTGGTTGAATGGAGAAATGTTTTCTGATGTCAGTCTGGTGTTTTAAGGAAAAGAATCCTAACTGTTTAATTTTCTTTAGTAGTTGTTTTATTTTCAGGTTCAGATATGGGAAAAAATCAACTGCCTCTGTGGACAGAGAAGACCCTAAGGTTCTAATCACTGCATTCTAATAAGGGTTCCTCTGTTGGAGGATTGTGGATTGAGGAAAAAATTAAACAACAGATAAGAGATAGAGTTGGGAGGGCACCCAGTGAATACTAGGATCAGGCCCAAATTTATTACTCAAAACTCTTATATATCCCAATCAAAAAGGGGAAAAGGAAAAAGACTTCCTTACCAAGACACAAAGAACAAGCAAGTGTAATTACCTTCTCAATACCCAAAACATCAAGTAACCACACCCTAAATCAAGCATCCTGTTGTCAAGGTAAACATCCATTAGCTACACCTTAGACCAAATATCCTGTTGTCCAGGCAAGACACACAATAGCCACACCTTAGGCCAAACATACTGTGGATTTAACCTTGAAGGAACAAAAATAGGCTTGAACTATCTGACCTTAAGTCAAGATGGAAGGGAGCCACTTCTATGGGCCCTGACAATCCCACCTTCTTAATTTAATTAATAACACCTGTGCTTCTGCTACAGGACAAAATATCATGTCTGTCTTAGGTTGTCTTCTTCCCCCTTTCAGCCTCACCCTTATTAGTACACACATTCCGCCATGCATACCCTGTCTTAGGCTGACTGGAGGCAAAAAGATCTTACAGTCTTTGACTACCAGCCTCTTTTGTAAAAGGTTAGAGTGCGTAGCTTGATGCCATGTACCTCTGAGCCAACTTTCCATGGAGAGCTCACAAGCAAATTGACAATGCCAAGCAATACCCATGCACTTATGGCTACAATACTTCCTATTAAGGAGTAAAGAATGAACAGCATGGAATGGCCTTTTTAAATTGGTCCAGCATGTCTCTAGCAGTTTTAGCTGCATAAAGATCCAAATTTGCTTTTTAAATCACATCGAATCTAAAGACTCATTTTCATCATGCCAAATTTCTATCAGATTGAGCTCTGACTTTTTTCCATCTGTAAACACTTTCAATGTAAACAAAAGTGGTTACAAACATTACAGGTCAATACCATAATTCTAGTATGAATATTAAGAGTGAACACACAATTGGCTAGATTACAATTCTCATAATTTTGATTCTACCAAAAGACAATAAAATGTTCTTGTGGTGGGTGTGAGTCTTTTTCATCCCTAGAATCCAATTGCATTGCTGCTTCTAACTTCCAAAGATAAGTCTGAGCTGCTACAGTCCCTGAGTACCAAATACCAGCAGCAAAGATTTTTTTCCCATTATTCCCCATCAGTTGGGGGATGGGGAGTGCTCCTTAGTACTTCTAATTTGGTTTCTTGACCAGTCTAGCACATAATTCTGAATTCCAGTGATATTATATTAAAGAGAGGCTTTAGTTACACATCAACTCTATAATCGTGTTCAATTGTTCCAATGGTCTCTTTCCCACAGATGGGAAGTCTCTGAGGTACCTGTTTTCCAGGCTGTCTATTTCTATGGGAGAAATGAGTTTCAACTGGCAAAAGTGAGTTCCATGTCCCAAGATACAGTGTGGATAAATGGCCAAACATTCAGTCCTTGACCATATGCAGACTAGTCAAAACTCACAGAAGTCTGGGGAGTTGCTGCAGCAGGTTTTTGAATCATCAACCATAATCATAATCTCCTTCCCTTCTCAGACTGCAGAATGATGACATCATAGAGTCAAGAACACAGGTTTAGCAAATCACTCCAACTCCTCCAGGAGGGTCTGGAGCATTCCTCTCCTCCACAAACTCATCAGACATCCAGGCAGCCATTGAGCTTCATTCATTTTCTCCCTGTGAAAAAACACAAACAGGACCTCGACACCATATCAAATCAGGATGGGGTCCTTTCCATAATCCAGTACAAGAATCTTTCCATTGACTTGAGCAAAGTCGCTCAAGTGCCATCAGGCCAAAATCTATCAATGGCAGATTGCCCTCAGGCATCCACATTCTAGAAATTTAAAGCAAAGAATGAATGACACATTGTGTGGAGCCTGGGGGTACAACTCCCCCTTATTTTTTTTTTTTTGAAGTTGTGTTTTCAAGGAGCCATGGACATACTCCACCATTCCTTGTTCTTGAGGATTATAAGTAATGTCTGTTTTATGTTCAATTTTCCACTGGGAACAAAATTGCTGAGATGCATTATATATCCAGATCCATTATCAATTTTTATAATTTTAGGAATTCCCAATATGAAAAACATTTTAAGCAATGAGTTATCACATGCTTAGTGGCTTCTGTTTGTGTAGTGACCATCAAGAAATCTGAATATGTATCAACTAACACAAGTACATATTTTCATTTGCTAAATTTTGCAACATGAGTAATGTCCACTTGCCATAAATGATTATGAAGCAGCCCTCAAGGATTTACTCCCAAGGAAGGTACAGGCAAATACTGTGGGCAAACATCTCATTGCTTAACAATCTGATGAGCAGTTTCTCGAGTAAGGCCAAATTGTTTTCTTAAACTTCTGTTATTCTGATCATGAAAGCTTGAATGAACCCTTATATGAACCACAAAGCACAGTAATTTTCTTTGATGAATGGCATTTTTAATTTGATGAAACATTTTTATCTGACCATTGCTAGTTCCAAGAACTGTTTCTATAACCTGAATAGCCCCAAAGATATAATGACTATCAGTATACAAATCAAATGAACTGTTTACCAAAAGCTGGAAAACCATAGTTACAGCTCATAACTCTACTATCTGTGCTGAAGTTGGAGCCGTTTGTACCACATAACCTTTACCATTAACAACATATGTGGCTTCTCCACTGGAGGAACCATCAGTAAAAACTAGCATAGTATCTTTAATGGGATTTTCCCTTACAATTTAAGGAAATATAAAAGAATGCATTTGTGCAAATTGCAACAATCTGTCAGCTGGAAAAAATGATTATCAATTTGACCTAAAAACTGAGCAAAAGCAATTGCCCAAGAATCATTATTTTGAAATAACCAATCAACTTGCTATTTAGTATAAGGAACATAGATTACACTTGGCTCTCTGCCAAAATATCTCCTAGATTCCATATGGCATTTCTGTACCATACAAGCTACTGCTTCATAATAAGGGTTTAATACTTTGACCAGAGTCTTGAGGAGCCAAAGGAATAGTATAAAAGCAATCCTTTAAATCTAAAATAATCTTATAGATTTTTTTTTTGGTATGGCTGTAGGAGCAGGTAATCCTGGCTGTAAAGCCCCCATTAGCTGCATGGTCTCATTAACTTTTCTCAAATCTTGTATTAATCTCCACTTTCCAGATTTCTTTTTAATCATGAAAATAGAAGAATCCCAGGGGGAATTAGAGGCATAATAAGACTGTTCAGTTGTTCCTGTGCTAACTTGTATTTTTTCTTCTGTTAGAGGCTCCTGATTTACCCATACAAGCTCATAACTTTTCCAAATAATAGGGTCTGCATGGAGTGCAGGCTTCTCAATGAGCTCTCCTAAAAATATCCTAGTCCTGCTCTGAGAGGTCTCATGATAGGCACAATAGGATCAATTCTTCCCTCATTCTCAGGCCTAGTGGTTGATTGTGCAACAATCCTGCATTGGGGCTATATAAAAACACCCCCATTTGGGTCATAATATCCTGACCCCATAAGTTTACAGGTAAATGAAGAACAATGTATGGTTGAAAAGCCCCTTCATGACCTTCTCCATCTTTCCAGGAAAGTTCATTGCTACTTTGCTCAAGACTCCGAGTCTGGCCAATTCCCTGCAGCTGTGTAATAGTTTCCATCTTTGGCCACATTGAAGGACACTGACTGTCCATAATAGCAGCCACATTTACACCAGTATCTAGGAGGCCAGAAAAAGCTTTTTCCACTTCTAAACAAAGTGAGCTCTGGGCGCTGTAGACCTATGGCTTGTAACCAATAGGCATCAGATGAACCAAACCCAGATTTTCCTCTATCTGTCTTAACCTGTTTTTGTTTGTTTATTTGTTTGCACTTGGGGAAGCAAACTCAACTGCTTCCATTTACTACAGAAATTCCATTAGGTGAGTGAGTCATAACCTTGATTTATCCCTCAAAATCAGTATCAATCACTCCTGGAGCAACAAAGGTTCCCCGAATAGAGGTGCTACTTCTTCCCAGCAATAATCCTACAGTGCTTTTTGGCAAAGACCCATAAACACCAGTGGGGACAGCCTGCATCCCCATTTTGAGAGTTAAAACTGTCTAGACAGTTGAGCAGAGATCCAGTCAGGCACTTCCTGCTGTAGCTCTGCAGAGGTCCTAAATGGATTTCCTTCTGTGTTTGTGGGGGGGGGGGTGCCCCATGGTCTCTCAGGGCCTGAAGCTGCCACTCTGGTCATTTTCCTGCAGGAGATTCCCTTGGGCATCCCTCCTTGATCTACATTCATTAGCCCAATGCTTCTAAAGGGACCAGCTCCCCATTTCGGCAGCCATAACAGCTGAACATGTGCTTGCCTGACCTTGTCTTAGTCACTAAGAGGTCAGATGCCTACCTCATGGCAAGGAACCAATCAGAAGTTAGCTGCGGATGCTATGCTCTATGGCTCTGGGTGTGCTTTATGGACAAGTGCACAGCAACAACTCCGCAGAACATAGCAACCACCCTGGGAGGGCCTATGGGCCATAACAACCAGTTGACCATTCAACACAGGGCAAGCCCTCCAAGCCTGGAGGCACACCAATCGTGAGCCTGTGCGTACCCCTAAACACTCCCCTCACGCTGCCCTATAAGATCTCTTGGGAGGCCCTAGGAGCTGTCTTTTGCTAACAGCGTCTTTCTTAGCCATCCACTATGGTGGATGGGTGAAAGGCCGGAGCTAACATGGGGTTAGCTCGTTAACAACTATAATAAAGCCTCATGCAGTTTGCATCAAGTTTCCACCTCCGCATGGTGATTGGGGTGGCCGAGGTCCTGGGCTGAGATCCTGGGGGCCTGAGCCTCTGGGGTCTTACACTTCCCTCTCCTGTATCTCAGGCACAATCCAGGTTCCTTGTTTGTTGCCCTGTTAAGACACTGCCTAACCTGATGCCCTTTCTGACCACTTCCAAAGCAATTTCCAGAAGG